AAAAAAAAAACCCCTTGTTGAAAAAAAAAAAAAAAAAAAAAAAAAAGACAACCTGCTACAGGCTTGTTTACAGCCCAATCTGATGGAAACCTTTTCTTATTTAAATTCCCTTTTCTCAGACGACTTTAGCTTGCGTCAAGCTGACATAAAGCTAGCCAATACTGTCTAAAAAGGATCACCTCATCATAGATGAGGCAACTGAGGATCCATGGGTATGAAGTAGGGGAGTCAGGAGCCCACCTGAGGCCAGATTTGTCTAGCCTTGTCCCTAATGTAGTCTGGCCCAGAAGTTCTTGGTCTCGGCATACCCGAGAGTTTGACACCAGCCTGGTCTACAGAGGGAGTTCCAGGACAGCCGGGACTACACAGAGAAACTCTCTCAAAAACCAACACACAAACACACACACCACACACACACACACAGTGTGAGGTGGGGGGAGGGAGAGAAAGAGAGAGAGAGAGAGAGAGAGAGAGAGAGAGAGAATATGAATTTTCAGGGCACCTGGGGTCCTGAACCTGTAAACTGTTCAGGTGTCCCTAAAAGGCTCATGTATTAAACGTTTGGCCCATGGTGGCTGATGATTCTGTCAAGCTCAAAAAAAAAAAAAAAAAAAAAAAAATCTGCATTAACATGAATGGGCAGGAGCTGGTTGGGGGGGCGGGGAGGCTTGGCAGGGCAGAGCCTGTGCTCAGCATGAGGTCCTGGCTTTAGTCATCAGCACAAATTAAAGGCAACTGAGCTCAGCAGTGGAGGGTCTGCCCAAAATCACAAAACACACAAAGGACTTGCAGGCATTCAGCATGACATGATTTGCTGTTAGACTGTCTCTAGCATAGGGACCTATTTGGCAGCTGCCTTTCGAGTTGTTTTCAGAGATGGGATTCATGGTTGTGCTGGTTAGTTTTTTGCCAAGTTGGAACAGCTAGGGATGAAGCTGGGAACCTCTATTGAGAAGGTATCTCCATCAGACTGGCCTATAGGCAGGTTTATGGGACGTTCTTTCAGTTATGGGCAGTGCCACCCCTGGGCAGGTGATCCTTCATCTAACAAAGAAAAATAACTGAGCAAGCCATGGGGAGAAGCCAGTAAGCAGTGTCCTCCATGCCAGACTATAAGCTGTGAAATGAAATGAACCCTCTCCTCCCCAAGCTGCTGTGGTCACGGTGCTCATCACAGCAACAGAAAGCAAACCAGGACAGTGGCTTTGACAAAGAAGTTACTTCCAGAGAAAGCCAAGTATGAGTTAAAGTTGAATTTACTTAAAAGCAGAAAGCAAGGTACAGAGGAGGAAGAGAGGCAAGAGGGCTGAGCCCTATGAGTGCATACCAGACAGGATGAGTGTGGGTGTATACCTATAGGCAGCTCTCAAGTTATAGCTCTAACCCTGCTGAGAAATGTCCCTCCCCCATTCTGATATTGCTCAGTGTAGCTTGGATGCTTATTTTAGCAGACATACACTAAACAAATATTAGCATGGCTCCTGCACAAGGATGACATGCAAATTCACCAAGTGTTCCTTATCTTTCTTTGGTCACTTGGATTATACTTGTATCTATAATCTGTGATAGAAGGAAAGAATGAAAGTTTAAGGGAGGTTTAAGAGGGTGCTATTGAGGTTTACGGAATAGGTTATGCTTGAGATTCAATGAGATACAGCACCCTAAGTGAAGGCAAGCCTGCTTACTGCCCCGAATGTCTTTGGAGAACACACCTTGTCTCCACAGGTAAATTTTGGTTTTATCAGTGCTGTCTGAAAAATTTCAATTCCATTAGCTGGGCCCACAAGCCTGAAGCTCCTCCTCTCTTCCTGCTTCAGGGCGACTATAGCAGTGCCCATACTCCACAGTCAGCAGAGCAGGAATGTGGTGCATGCGGAACTTTAGCACCTGAAAGGCTGAGGCAGAAGGATCGGGGGTTCAAGATCATGTTACTTCACACATACTAGCACAGCTGTAAGCCAAGGACAAAAGAACATAGTAACTGCACGTGTTGCTGTTGAGACTAAAATGCTACAGACACTATAAACATTTAAAGTTAGCTAAGGTTTTAACATCTCATGGCCATACATATATCCAAAATGACTGAGATGGCATCCAGGTACCAGTGAATGAATGTCACAGCAGTACCACTCACAAACACGTGACACAGCAGTCCCTCTCATTAGATCCTGAGCCCTGCAGTCTACCGTGGGCATAAAACATCTCTCAGAGAGGGTGAGGGGCCGTCACTTTCTATTTCATCATCATCATCAGTTTCTCATCTTTACTGTACCTGATGGAAATGCTGCCAATCACTGTATGCTACTGGGAACTTGGTTGGGGATGTGGGAGGATGTGGTCCCACACACAAGTAGGACTACTTACCATACCAATGGGAGCTTATTCAAACATAAAGATGGAGTGTGGGGGCTGCAGAGATGAAGTAGCAGTTAGGAGCACTTCTTGACCTAGAGGACTAGAGTTTGATTCCTACCACCCACATGCGGTGGCTTACAACTACTTATAACTCCAGCTCTAAGGATTTGATGCCTTCTTCTGGCCTTGGTGGGTACCTGCACACATGTGGCATACATTTCTAACACACATAATGAAAATAAATCTTTTTAAAAAAATGGAGTAATGACGTATAGTATAATCTCAACAAATCCTGTGAACATTATGCTAAGGGAAAGAAGCTAGGCACAGAAGGCACACGAGGTTCTTTTTATGTGACGTGATCCAACAGGTTAAGCACAAAGGTGAGTGGTAGACCAGGGATGGATCCTAAGTGTGACTTCAAACTGTCCCCACTGAGTAAGGGTAGGAATATTCAGTGGTGAAACCTGGCTGTCAGCAAGGCTGAGAGCTACTGGTCTAAGCAAAGGCTATTGCTCAGACCTGAAAACAACTCCTGTTGCTTCACGAACTAGCAACTCAAGTAGCACACTTCTCAACTGGAGGACAAAGCTAGCAAGGCAATTTTAAAAACTTATGGGGGGGGGGCCTCCTCTGGAAAGTATGAAGGAAGAAGGTCAGTGCCCCAGAGCTGCCAGCTTCAAGGGGCAAGCCACAGCAGAGAAGAACTGGAACAAGAGGGAGCTGGGATGGGGTGGGGAAGGTCCCAGAAAGAAGCCCCCTTCGCCTTCACTGGCTCTTGCTGGCATCCCCAGACTGCACACCACCAGAAAAAGTGGATGAAGTTTATTAAGGCACATAACTATGGGTGTCCTAGAGGAGCAGGAACGGAAGCTTCTGCAGACACACCAGGAGAGCCACTTCTCAAACAGCTGTGCAGAGTCCCATCCGGACTGCCCAGAGCCTGTGCTGGCTAGAAAAGTGTTTGTCACTTGGCAGGCAGCAGCCACAGTCAGGGCTTGGATGGTCACCAAGGTCAGTTTCTGCTTACACGTGGACTGACCATCTTCTCAGTTCTCAGCAGTGCAGCAACTAGAGCCACTCCTGAGCCACAGCCAGCTGAGGCAGCAGCCAGATTCTTCAGGGGTACCTCAACAAGGAAGGTCAACTCCAAAACCCACTTCCTCCCTAGGTTTTCAGGACAGCAAGTGGTCACCTGGTCCCAGTTAGCTCATTTCCTGGTCTAGGCAACTTGCCTGCCCTCATCGGTTCTGAGGACAAAAGGGGCGAGTGTGTCCAGGCTGGTGGCAAAGGCTACATTTTCGGGGTTTTTTTGCTGTAGATCCTGCATCTGAGGAACCAGCTCTTAGTCTTTTGCTTGTAGCCTCTGGTCTCTGGGCTTTTCCTCTGCCTCCAGGCCACGGTGGAGCTGCAAGACTCCCTGTGGGAGAAGACAGGACAAAGTTGAATTCATAATTGAAACCCTCAAAGCAAGAAACAGGGGCAATACCAGTTGTGGTGGTGTATACCTGTAATCTTGAGAGGTAGAGGCAGTTCAAGGACAGATTGGGCTATGTAAGACCCTGTCTCTGCAACAAAACCCAACCAAGGTACAATGTTGGGTATAAGTGGCACCCCTTTTACAAGTCAGGTGAGTCCACGGGCTTGACTCCCTTTGCTCTGTAAAGGCCAGCACCATACCAAGAATATGGCATATCCTACCACCTGCTACCTGCTCTTTCTTTTTTAATTATTTCATTTTACACATTTTAAACCCAGCACTCGGGAGGCAGAGGCAGAGGCAGGAGGATCTCTGTGAGTTCAAGATCAGCCTGTTCTACAAAGCAAGTTCCAGAACAGCCAAGGCTATTACACAGACAATTCTTGCTTCAAAGAAAAAAGCAAAAGGCAGAAAAGACCCCCCAAAATCCTTTTTACCTATGTGTACATATATAAGCTTATATGAGTGCAGATGTCTGCAGGAGAGGATCCTGGACTTTTGGAGCTGGAGTTACAGGTGGTTGATGGTACGCCACCTGATATAGGTGCTTGAACTAAACTCAGGTCCTCTGGAAGAACAGCAAGTGTTTCTTTCCAGCCCCGCCTTCTTAGTCTAAAGAAACCAAAGCTCTGAGAGACCCTGCCCCTCCCCCCCAAAAAAAAGTCAGGCAGTGGTGGCGCATGCCTTTAATCCCAGCACTTGGGAGGCAAAGGCAGGCAGATTCCTGTGAGTTCAAGAACAGCCTGGTCTACAAGAGCTAGTTCCAGGACAGCCTCCAAAGCTATACAGAGAATCTCCTGTCTCAAAAAACCACACACACATACACACAAAAAGACCTTGCCCTGATGAGAAGGCAGTGGTGTGCTTTCTACACACCCTTACTATGTACACAGCAGAAACCCAAGCACACAGAAGCAGATGGGGGGTCTGTGGTCAGCAGCCAGGCCCCCACTTTACCTTCCCTTCGTGGAACCCTCAGCACCTTGCCCCCAAGGAACCTTCTAGACTATAAATGGGCTGCAGTGCTGGCTGTCCTGACACTGAAGACATCTAGTCATCTGGCTTGGAGACATATGTCACTTCTGGTGGCCCTAGAAAGTCTCAGGTGTATACAAGGCTAAGGGCTCTGCAGTTATTTCAGATACGGGCACAGAAAAGGATAGCCTGAGGGGCCTGAAGTCCTAAGCTCTTCACCAGGTCTTCTGGGTGCTTCTTGCATCTGGTGGCCCACATGTGAAGTCAGCCTTGGTGGCACATGCCTGCTATTCTGGTACTCAGGAGGCTAAGGCAGGTTTGTAAGATTGAGGCCAGCCTGAGCTACATATATAACCTGCCTCAAAATGTGCACCCCAGCCACAAATAAATGACTAAAAATGAAAGATCATAGTCCGAGACTAACTTGGCTCCTTTAGGAAACAGGAGTTTTATGGAAATCAGTGATGTCATCTTATTGCTGAGGAGACCAAGGGTGAGAGGCTCAGCCAGCTACGTGAAGGTATACAACTGGGATTGGAAAGACCTGCGAAACTGCAAAGTTGCTGCTCAGCCTTGGGTTTACTGCTGTGCATTGCAGTGGCAGGAACCCATCTGATTCAATGTCTGGGTGCCAGTCCTTAGAACATTCATTCCTGAGACTCGGGGCTGTGTAGATAGGTTTCTACACACCACCAGTCAGTGTGCCTCAGGTAAAATGAGGCTGATAAAAATGACCTAGCGAGGGTGACAGTCTACAGGGGAGGAAGACACTTATTACTACTTTGGGACCTGTCATTGTGACACTAAATAAAGCCCTTCGCTGGCCTGCACCTGACCTCACTTGGAAAAGTAATCGAACCCAGATGAAGGAAACTTGCTATAGAAAGTACAGATCATGGCACTGGGCACAGTTGCTACTCTCTAATGTGAACCCAAGACCCTATCTATGATTCATGCCTTGCTGAACAATGAGAAAACAGAGGCAAAGCTATGGCCCTGCTGATCTCCCATACACTCATCTGCCTTCCCTTCTTCTCTGGTCTCTGCAATGATAGCCACTGTGAGAACCTATGTAGGGACCTGTGGTCCTGCTTCCTCACCTGGAGCCATGTTCTCATCTACCCACTGAAAGAAGCCACACTGTTGCTCTCGTGGCTTGGCACAGATGTGGAACTGGCGTCCTTTGTTGGGCCCATCTTTCTGCACAGTCCGTGTGACAGCAGGCTGCCCACACAGGCAGGATGTACTTCCATCACCATCACCACCAAGGCTGCCAAACCCATCCACGTTGCTGCCTAAAGCTGACGTGTACCCCATGGAGCTGCCTGGGGGTCTTGATGCAGAGGTGGGGGGCCCTCCTCCTCCTGTGGGATGGCTGCTGTCAGCCCACAGAAAGAAGTTGCAACCACCACCATTGCACTTATAGAAGTGCCGGCCCTGGTTGGGGCCCTGCTTGCGGACAGTAAGCAGCACAGCCTCCTGGCCACAATTGCAGATCACAGAGTTACTTTCACCAGCAGGAGTGGGTGGTGGGAAGGTTTCAGCCATTGCCTTTGAAGATCCAGTATGTCTGTTGACCAGAGGTTGAGAGAGGCTATGCTGACTGCTGTCCATCCTGTTGAGGGCCTGGCTGGCCTGCAGGTAGCCAGAGGGCTGGGTAGCTCTTGGGGGACCTTGTGAAAATCGCAGGCCCAAGATTTCCTTTAAAGTTTCATC